ATTAAATTAAAATAATTTATTTATTAAGGTTGAAGAAACTTCACATTGCAATATGATAATTCCAAAAGGTTCTAAACATAAACAATGTGGTAATATATTAAATATATATTTTATATATAATTTAGTTTTGAACAATTTTGATTTTAATTTTAATATTATTTAATATTAAGATGCTCATCATGTTAATGATGGGAATGTTATTTGTGGGGTTATTATTGAAAAGCCTTGTCCTGTATGTTTCATCAGAATAATTCCTAATAACATTATAGAGTGCCCATTTGTTGCTATCATATGTATTGGAGTTCACAATCATCCTCCTCCTCCACCTGATAAATTACCAAATGGCATTAAAAGTAACTTGCAAGCTTTAATTGAACAATCAATTGACAATAACAATACCACCACACCAGGTTCAATTTTGTCAGGTATTAATTAAGTTTTATTTCTAATCAATAATTTATGTCAATTACCATATTGTTAAATTAATTTTAATATGCAAATTGATAGGAAACCTAATCAAGGCTTATTTTGATAATGAATGTTTACCTGAAGTACATTTGTCATTAAATAATATTGATAAATTAAGACATTTGGTTGCTAAATCTTATAATAAGTTGCATCCTTTTGGTCAGGGAATAATGGGTGTCTATCATAATTTATTAAATAAAAATTTTGACTTAAATAACTATCTTAGAAAAATTGGTAAAGTTTTTAAATTAATCATTTGTTTTATTTATATTAATCAAATTAATTTATTGATTTAAGATTTTTTTTTTGAAAAAAAGAATTTTACTCTAAGAATGGACAAGTATTAATTATTTGTATGCTCAAACAACAAATACAAGAATTATTAACCTTAGGTTTGATACAAATAGATGTCAGTTTCAAGCAAGTTAAAGGGGAGTTAAATGAATTTGAAATAAACAGATATGATCCTGGGCATCATTTAGGTAAGTGAAAAATTTTAAGGTATTTTATGTATTATATATTTTAAAAATAAAATATTAATTATGAATATATCATTTAAAAAAATTTTTTTTTCTTTTTACAGTATTGACATTTTGTCGAGTGTTCACAAATGTTTTCACAGCAGATGGTTACAAAAGATTATTCTTATCTATCTTTGAAATTATAAGAGATTTAAGTGGGCAGGAACTCAAGTTTCAACACATCCATAAAGAAGGGATTGGGTGTATCTTGGGTGATTTAGATATTGCACAGGCCAAAGGACTAGGTCTTGCATTATACAATTTAGATCCTGAAAAGGATCCAGAAACTCATTTAATTCATATTTTTAAATCATGTCTGATCCACTTTGAAAGGTAATTATATTTACCTACACATACCTTTTCTAAAAAAATGATTAAATTATTATTTTTTTTTATCAGAAATCTTAGTCGTAAAGCATTTAAACAAGCAACTAAAAACTTAATCAAGCAAATACCATATGCTTCAAATCCAGAACAAGTTTATCATCTTATAAAGCTAATTGAAAATACAAATGATGATGGGATTCAAGGTAATGTGTTGAAATTAATAGAATATAATACATTAATATATATTTATTAACTTATAAAAATATATAGATTGGTTACAATTTTACCAGCAACCATATATTCTAGCATCGTTAAACCAATCTCTCTCTAAAATTAACCCAGATATTTGGCACAAGTCTGGTAATAACACAAATATCGCAGAGGCAGCTCATTCTCTAGTAAATAGAGAAGGAAAGCAAATGAATTTATTATCAGCAATTTTGAGGTTTGTCTATTTAGTAATCAGTTTGAAAATAATGCTTAAAACCAAATTTATTAAAGTTTAATATTACATTTTTAAAGAGGGAAAAAATATGATGAAAATTGTTTTAGAACCATAGAAATTCACAATAGTACAGGTGTTTCTAAAACACTTAAAGATAAAAGTAAAATAAAGAGGCTAAGTAACTCCATGACACGTAAAAGTAAGGAATAAATATTTTTTTGAATTAGTAACTTTCATTAAATTTAATAATTTTCTATTAATTTATAGGGTTACCTAATTCAAAAAAGAGTCAAGTGAAGATGACTTCTACAAGTAAAAACATTCCCAAAAAAAAGGGTAAAGAACCTGTTCAATTATCAGATAATGAACAAGCTGAATCATCAAAAAAAGCAAAACTTGATAATAATAATAAAGAAAATATGCTTCTTCAACTTGAAATTGAAGAACGTAGAATTTCCTTAGAAGAGCGTAAAATGTCATTGAATGAACGTGCAATAAAAGCTAAAAAAGATGAAGCAGAAGCAAAAAAGTTAGAAGCAGAGGCTAAATATTTAGAATTAGAAAATATCAGAAAAGGAAGATTTATGGAAGATGTTTGATTTTTTCTGTTTTTCATGGCTTACAAATAAATAGTAATAATATAGATCAATCATTTTTAAACTTGTTATTTTTATGATTTTGGTGAATAAATAAACAAAATATTGTTCAAGTTGTTATATATGTATATTTTGTATATTATATAATATGTATGTTCTGGATTGTTATATATATGATTATTATTATTATATTAACTTATAAAAATGTATGTATGTATGATTTGCATTTTCATACATGCAGAAAAAAATCATACATACATACATTTTTATTATATTATTATTATTATTATATTAATTTAATAAAAATGTATGTATGTATGATTTGCATTTTCATACATGCAGAAAAAAATCATACATACATACATTTTTATTATATTATTATTATTATTATATTAATTTAATAAAAATGTATGTATGTATGATTTGCATTTTCATACATGCAGAAAAAAATCATACATACATACATTTTTATTATAT